CGCTCGCGCTCCTGGCCCGCCAGCCCCCGGGGCCCGCAGCCGCCGCGGATCCGGGCCCGCTCGGCCCCTCCCATGGTGAGCCCCCCCGCCCTTTTTCCAGAGCCTTCCACGGCCCCGCCCCCCCGGGCTCCCGTCTTTGTCCGCGGCCCCCTCTTCTCTGGGGTCTCCCAGGTGGCCGCGAAGGGTGGTCCCGCCTGGGGCCGGGTTCCCCCGTGGAACCCCTCGGTGGTACGCGCCGGGCTCTCCCCTTTGTTACGGGTTCGGGCAGGGGCGGCGGGGGTGGGGTACGGGGGCGGGGCGGGCTCAAATTACTGCTGACTCCGCGGCCGGGTCGAAACGCGGGTGGGGGGCTGGCGGGCCGACCGTGGACGGTCGGTGCGCGCGCTTGTTTTTCCATTTGGAAAGTTGGCCTCTCTCCGGACAGGAAATGGGGAGACGAAGGAGGGGTCTGGGGGCCGGCGGCGAGGGGGGCCGTCTTGCCCTCGCGCGCCCAGGTGTTGCGCTCGGGGGCGCTGTGCGCGGGGCCCGTGGCGTGTGCGCCCAGGTGTGGGATGCCCAGACCTTCGACATCAACATCGAGCTGTGCGGGCGCACGAAGCTACCCGGCCTTAAAACATGCACATACTTTTCAAAACCTGAACAAAGCTGCTGTCGGTAAAGCTGCACGTCCCGCTGCTCGCACGCTCGCGCCGAGGTGCGTTTCCCCCGAGGCCGGGCGCAGGCTCGCCGCTCAGCCACCGGCCCCGCGCTGTGCAGGGCCCGGGGCTGTGGCAGCTGCACACGAGCTTCCTCCAGACTCGGAGCACCCCCCGCCCCCCCTAAACATTCCCCGTCCTGCACTGCCTCCCCTCTCACCAGCCGGACCGTCGACGTTTCACAGGCTCTTCTGGACCCTTAACACCCCTCCTCGAAGGCTCCCCCCCTTCCCAGTCCCGGCGAGGCGCCCCCACGCAGTAAAGCGCAGATCAGAGGTCGGGGTGAAGCTAAGTTTCGCAGACACTTGCCCAGATGGGACGTTTCCTTTAGGGTCGCCCTGCGCCTCGCCGGGACCTGCCCCCCTGCTGGTGCAGGTGTTCCCGGCCGAGGCCGGCATCCCGGGTGCTCACTCTCCAGACCCAAACCTCTTTCGGGTCCTGGGGGGTCACCCCGCCCTCCCAGAGACGCTCGCTCTGACGGGCGTCCTCGGGTCTGCCGGGCCGGGTGCTGTCACTGCACCTCCCGAGGCCTGTGCCCGGCAGGGGTGCCGCCAGCCAGGGGCGTGGAGACCCGTTCTCCACCGGAGACACCGGGCAGTGAACACACCCCGCTCTGCACCAGGCCTCTCCCCCAGACGGAGGGCATGCTTGCTCAGGTGTTTCTGCTTCGAGCTCCCTTCCAAAATAAGACGTTCCCTGCCCGGAGACACCTGTGCACTTTGTAGGAAAGTTGGAAACGCCCATTAGCCAAGAGGTGGAAGCAGAGGCGCTGTGTTTTATTCACTTGCTTATCTTGCTGCCTGGGGCCCTCCGTTCCTGGGTTCCTGCTGCGGGTGTTGGGAAGCTGGCGTGTTTGCTTTGAGATGTTTGGTTTGAAGGCGGCTGGGAGAGGACCCTGTGAGGGAGCGCGTGGCTTTGCTGGGTTTTGTGCGCTGAACCGTTCTGGTTTCTGCACACGCTCTCCAGCCGCTGTG